CATTTACATGTCTATACGTATTTATATTGTAATAGTCTGAAATATTTTACTTGTGCCCTTAAGAGGCAAACAATTCTTCACTATTTTAAGTGTACCTATACAATGAATACTGGCATTTGAGGAAATACTATTTATGCAAAGTACACGATATTTTCTACCAATGTAAATAATACAATTATCCTTTGTTCTAATCTTTAAAAAAATGTCATGTTGTGTTATCATATTTTGTGGCTGAAGCAATTAGTGGAGTGCAGTAGGGAGTGTTCCCTCTGAGATCAGGTTACGCAACCATTATTTCCATGCATTTGTATCATAAATGAAATAGGTTGATGATGCCAGCTTGTCATGATATGTTTCTTGGGCATTAAGAGGCCAATGTGGATTCTAGTGAGAGGGTCCATCTTAAAATATGACTGGTAGCAATTCAGTAAATGTTTTAGAACCAAATTTATTCAGATAGTAGCTTATATCCTTATATGTGGCTTCGCTTAGGATTTGGAGCCTGTAATCTCTCTTGTGTTAGGGGTATTTTGCTTTGCCAAGTCTTTCCAGCTCCAAATACTGAGAAACTTTGCCTCAGATGCTTGTTCTGGTGTGTGTGTGTGTCGAAGTGTGCCAGATGAAGAATCTGGTTCCAGGCCTGCATGTGTGCATTTCCAACATGGAAGGGAGACTTCAGTTGCTTGAAGCTAACCTCTGTTTCAGGTGCACAAGTTAGACAAAACCACTTACTCTTTGTAATTACAACTGTAGTGTTTTGTTTCCATTGTTAATATTAGTGTAGACGAAGAAGGTTCTGTGTGAGGAATTTTTGAGCTGACATTTATCAGTTAGGAAGCATTTTATAAACTGAGTCAGTATCTGTCCTGGAATATATGTAGGTAACTCACTTGGAGTCAGTGGGCCTGATTTACAGATACTGGAAGATAAAACTTGGCATTTATCTATTAAAATTCCAAAAGTATAGCGAATTATATATGGCTTCTCCTATGCAGAAGAAGTATTGGATGTAGAGAAAATGAGGCGAACAGATTGCAGCTGGTTACAGTTCCAACTTTAGAACAATTTATGACTTAATTTAGCCCCACTGCCTCTAGTTGAGAGTATTTATTAACTTTTGTGGTTTTTCATTGTACCATTAATCTCATTCAAAACTACAGAGGGTGCCCACAAACCGTGTGTGTGTGTTGGTGGGGGGAGGGAGGAGACTGTCTAGTTTCTGTCTTGTTTATGCATTCACCATCTGTCCCCAAAAGAGTGGGTCTTTTGGTCCTTGTGAACAGAACTGAAATGCAAGCATTTTTGTTTACTATTCCTAGTTAGAACTGCAGGTGTTTGGCTCCATGATTTATCTGTTAAGTTGGATGTTTTTATCCTAAAAATAATAAGATTGAGCAAAACCTCTTCCATTATTGTAATAAACAGTACTGAGAAATGGCCCATGCCTCAATCCTTAGCGTAGATGCTAGGTTGAAATCCTTCTTCAGCTTCGGAGAACATCTGTTATATAAGGGAGAGAACAACTTTGCAGCTTGTTCAGGAGGAGAGTTAAGCAGCGCTTCTGGTGAAATGCACCATCCTGCACATAGCCGCGGATTGTGCTCTAGGGTTTTTCCGGTTCTTATTACAAACAGTATTTATCTTGTTGACTTATACCCTTTCTTTTGATAAATAAGCTGTTTCTAAACTGTTTGTCAGTTAATTCAGTCAATATATTTTGAAAAAAATGGCAGGGAGGAGTGTGTGTGCACACTCATGCAAACTCTTTCCCTCATTAAATAAAGGTAAGGAATCTTGGTACTCTTCATTCCAGTTAAGAATTGTATCAGCTGTAAAGGCATGTATCGAAAGGTTATTAGGTCAGGGAACCTAGTCTTGGAAAGTGATGATTCTTAAATGTTTATTTTGGTTCTTAAATCTGCAGATAGCCTTTCTCAAGTGTTCCTTAAACACTAGAAAAGTAAATAGGTACCAACAAAAGCATCTTTCCCTTTTCATCTGTTTAGCTTCTCCTTTGATGTCATAATTTCACTGGTGCCAAAGTATCAGAATTTGTAATTTTTTTTTTTTTAAGTATATTCTAAGTAGCCTTTAAATGCTATATCCCGAAGACACCTGTTTGTCTCTAGGCTGGATGCCTTTAACTGAATCTGTGCAAGCTGAAGGTCAGGGAGTTTAGGGTAGATTGGGAAGAGCATTTGAGCAGGCAGCAAAAGCTGGCAGTTCACACTGTGGTGTAAAAAAAAAAAATAAAAAATGAGTGCAGTCAAAGCCAAATTAAGGTGAAAGTCGAGCAGAATGGCAAATCACTTTCCTGACATGCTGATTTAAGTGAAGGTTGGGTTTCTTTAAAACCTCATTAGCAGCTTCAGGAGCCGTCTTTGTTCTGCTACTGAAGCTTCCCAAAAGGCTTAGGTGCTATGGAGTCCCTCCCTCCTGCCTTGTCTCAGATCGGAAGGGGGGGTGTCCGTCCGTGTCCGATTGTCTTGAATGATGCAAAATATGGGATTATAAAAATCTGAACTTTCTTTGTCTTGATTTCTTCCTCAGTAAATTTGGGGCTCTGTTTTGCCTACTGTGCCTGTGCAAAACATGTATGTAAAACACTCTCAGCTCTTAATTTGGAAGATGTATAAAAAGTGTGCTGTGGTATGCATAGATCACTTCAATTCTTAACACGCCAGTTCTCTGTAAGACTCTGCACAAACATCCATTCCAACTGATGAATGGGCAATAGCATAATGAATTTACAGCTAGCTTGTGCTTTTTGCCCTTGGACTCCCCATGTTGCAGGCAGGGCCCATTTCACATTTGTGGTGACATGGCTGTCAATCAGCATGTACTTTTTCTTTGGCACCTTTGGTGTCTGCCATGTATCTTCACAATATTTTAATTGGTGTGGGGGGGGATGACATGATTCCCTATCTAAGGAGTTTCCTGGTAAAGAATGAGCTAATAGTGAACCAGAGTTTGTGAAGAGAATGTCACAGGCCCTTTGTTATAAATGTAGGCATTCCTTAGTGCTCCTGGGAAAGTTAAACTATTCTTTTTCTTTCCAGCTGGTTTTCTGTCACCCTGCTGTAAGAATAGTGCCTTCTCCACCCCATCCCCAAACTAATATCTTTTAGTGAGTCAGATTTCTGAATGAGATGGTGGGACCAGGTAAGAGAGAAGAGTTGAGGGGAAGCTGAGCATAGCTGTGTAGAGGCCGGGGTTTGCTGAAACCTCTCCAGAGTCACTGCGCACTTTTGAAACAAAAGTTATGTTCCTGGTTTTTGGTAACTTTTTCCAATTTCATTCCTATAAAACAACTATTTAAAGTGGATCTTTGTCCATCCCTGCAGAAAATCTCTGCCATGGGATGTGCTATGTATTTTGGGTTTAATCCTGTTGCAACTGAAATTTAGGGCTTGTTCAGTTGCAAACAACCCAGCACTCTAAAACTGGGAACACTGGACCTCCTCAGTCCCACTCAATCGGTAGGGGAAGTAAACTTAACTTTTTGATGTCAAGTGCTAATGCAGTATGTTTAGCAATCTAAACACAAACAGTGTTTAACTCTTGCTTCATTCCTGGAGTTCTAGGAATGGAGGAAACCAAAGGAAGACTGGAAGAGTTTGCTCTGCAAGTCGGAGGGACAGTTCTTTTTCCTTTCCTCCAGTTAGAGCCCAGAGCATTTTCAGACTGAATGGAAAAGTTTTGTTGAAGCCAGTGAGGAATTGAAAGGTGGAGCATTATCCTGCAGCACTATAAAAGTTTGATTTGGAAGGGATTTGCTTCTTAGCCGAACTAAATTATGTCGGGCCAACTCTTACTGTGTCTTTGGAGTAGTTTAACTCTCAGACAAACGATGGAACTGTTGTGACCTGTTACAGTATGGAAGGCTGGGTTTGCTTCTAGCCCTGCACCCTCCACGAGTGCCACTTTCTCTGCCTGCTCTGCTACTCTGCCCTGTGTTCCCTGCCTGCTCTGCCATTGTGCTTCCTGTCCCCCCGGTCCTGCCACATGTCACACGCACAAAGACGGCCTATACCCTTTGTGGCAGATGGTTGGCATCCCTGTGGTTTGTTTTGGACAGTAGATGTGATGGGAACAATTTTAGGGCGGTGGACTGTAGGAATTAAGGTCTTTTTAAAAAATAAGTTAGTCTAACTTTTTGTGGGTCTGGTGCAAATAGCACAGGGATTTTTTTGTGCAAATAGCACAGGCAAATTCATCTTAAAAAAAAAAATTGTATACTATAATGGTACTTGGGTCAGATAATGTTATGGGATACTCTCCTCTGTCGTCGGTATTTGAATCACTGGAAGGACTTATGAATTATTTTGGCTGCTACGGGACTCTTCAGTGAGTGATATACTCTTTCAGCTGATTATAGCAATTGTACAAACTATACTATAAAAGCAGTGTGGAGTTTCATAGTATGATGGATCTTTGGCTGAGGGCTGAGATTTGTGTATCTGGGAAGGCTATTTTATTAATATCATCTTTTGTCTTTTATTTTGAAAATTGAAAGTAAAGCAAGTTTTAAGTTAATTCTTGTTAAAGTCTCTTACCCTTGTTTTGAAGTGGCGGTAAGTGGTTCTTTGGTAATGGTGTGGAAAAAAATGAAATGGCTTGTTTTTCAGGAGGAAAAGATATATTTACATGGCAGAGGGGCTTCCTTCTACCTGTTTTTTCCTAACTTGGAGAGCAACATTTTAAAAAGCAATGCTTGTTCCAAAGAGTAGCTTACCAACTCTGCATGCTTCTTCACAGGAACATAGGATTGGAAG